TATTAGTTTATTAACAACTCTTTGCCGAGGATCAAAGTCAGTATCTCATGTAAGTAGTTTTAATTTATTTAAAAAGTAATTAGTTATGTGTTAAATTATTACCTATAATAAATAAAATGTAAATAAGAAAACTGATTACTTATAATATTCTATTTTTAATTTGTTATTTTNTTACTTATAATATTCTATTTTTAATTTGTTATTTTAAGGACTTGTTCAGATCTAACTTAGGTGATGCTATTGAAAAAGCTTTAAAAGGTGATGAGTGGTAATATATATTATATGTAGAAAATTAATTAAATTTTTGTATATATGCTTATTATTTTTCAAGGATTAAAATTTCTTTGAGATGATAAATCTATTAAGAATTATAAAGATAATTAATTATAAGACTTTTATTTACTCACAAATATTTTAAAACTTATTTTAAGTTGAAATAAATAAATAGTTATGAAATATATTTTTAATATTAGCCACAAATTTTTCTATAAATATATACAATTAAATACTAAAATCATTCTACTACTAATAAAAATTTCAAACTAAAAAAAATGGTGTAATTAATAAATAATCATAGAGTTTGACAACCTCAAAAAAATATTAATAATTTAAAAACAAAAAGCACCCTATTATATATTTCTGAATTAAAATTTCTGTCATTAATTTATTATTTTAATTTTTTCAGGTGTTGTTTGGACACTATGCGTTTAGTTGATTTATTATTAGTATTACTCCTTGAGGGACGTGATGCAGTATCTTGGAGTACAGTGGCTTGTTCTAGTACTAATCCTTTATTACCAAAACTGCGACGTTTAGATTCTAGTGCTGAAAAATCTCAACGTCATTTAATTGATTGTATTAGAAGTAAAGACACGGAAGCATTGATGGAAGCTGTTAATTCTGGAGGTAAATTTCTAATTTAATTCTTCTCTTAATCAATAGTTTCTTATTTTAATACTTTTAAAATATATTTTAAAAATCTTAATAGCTATTGATGTGAACTTTGTGGATGAAGTGGGACAAACTTTATTAAATTGGGCTTCTGCATTTGGTACTCAAGAAATGGTTGAATATTTATGTTCAAAAAATGCTGATGTTAATAAAGGTCTTAGATCATCATCTTTGCATTATGCTGCATGTTTTGGACGTCCATCTATAGCCAAAATACTTTTAAAAAATGGTGCTAATCCGGAATTACGTGATGAAGAAGGAAAAACACCACTAGATAAAGCAAGAGAGCGAATGGATGAAGGTCATCGTGAAGTTGCTACAATATTAGAATCTCCAGGTTTGATTTATTATTTGAAAAAAAAATTCCTTACCTAATTTTAATGCAGTTCTATACCTTAAAAAAATTTTAAGTTGTACTCATTAATAAATTTCTAAGTATGTTGAACTCGTTAAAGAAAGATATATGTACATTTATGTTATACAGAGTGGTTAATGTCTTCTAAAAATGAGTCTGGTCAATCTAATGAGCCAAAAGAACCAAAAGGTGATCCAGAAATGGCTGCAATATATCTTAAAAGATTAATGCCTATATTTTGTCACACCTTCCAATCAACTATGCTTCCTTCTCTTAGGTAATTTTTTGGTTTAAAAAATAGAAATTTATGTAGTAATTTATTAGTATTTGTGATCATTTATTTGTCGAAACGTTTTCTATAGGAGAACTTCTTTGTCAATAATTAAAAAAATGGTTCATTATATCAAACCAGAATGGTTAGAAGATATATGTAAGCCTGAATGTCCAACTAATTTGGCTCCATTATTGGTTGACGTTCTTGCAACAGTGCTTGATAATGAAGTAATAATATAAAAATATTACAAAATATTAATTATATTTATTAAGAATTTTAGCTATTCAATAATTATTTAATAACAAACAATTTTAAAATTTTAAAGAAAAACAATATAAAAAGATAGTGCTTTATTTTTCCAATTAAATTTATTCCAGGATAAGACTTGGCTGATATTCTGTGATATGAGTGGCGAGAGTGAGAGATACTTGCCTCGTAAGCTCTACAAGATGTTAATTGTTAAAAAAAATTATAAATCTTTGATGGTAAAAAAATATGTACTTGTTTTGCACGTCGCATAGATCAATACATTTTATGCACATTTTACATTAATCAATAATATTTAAATTGAGTGTTTTTTAATTTTTTCTAAAAAATCGCATATACTGAAAATTAGCATATTTGCACCACTGATATTGAATTTATCAATTTCCTTTAACTATAATNTTTGCACCACTGATATTGAATTTATCAATTTCCTTTAACTATAATTCGATTATTTTAGTTATATTTTGTACATAAGAATTTCAATCATTTTGTAAGAAATTAACACAGAGTATTGTTCATTTACTAGTTTTGAATAATTATTATGACTAACTTAAATAATTGAGATTTGAGTCAATGCCNTTATGATAACTAACTTAAATAATTGAGATTTGAATCAATGCCAATTCTTTCTAATTTTTAAAAATTATTAAGATGTAATTGGTGATTGATTTATCATTGATTGCTTGATTTTTCCATAATTAAATTAAATTTAGAAATTAACTTTTTTTAATTTTGTAAGCCACATAATTTTCAATTATATTATTATTAGGTGTATTTCATTCCGTATAAGAGTATTAAGTTAAATTTTTTAAGTGGAAATGTACTTATTACATATATATATTTATTTATATATATTATAACAAAAGGCCTCGACTGTTAAGGTCTTTGGCCAAACATTTTAATTAGCCATAAGATTAGTAAATGATTGATAACTTTTAAACTATTATTTCAAAAGATATCAATATTTTATAACTTGGAGAGGAAAGGCACAAATAAGAAATGCCTAATGACATTATTAGATTATCTGTGAATAATTAATGTATGTATATTGTCAAAAATAAAATTAAGTTGGTATCCTTTTAAGATAAAAGGGATGGACCTAAAAAATCACTTGATAACTCATTAAGAATTATATGAAATTTAAAAAAAATATAAATCTTTTAAATTTATGTGTAGCTGAGATAAAATAAGTGGCTAATGATAAAATAATTGATCTTAATGAAAAAATGAGTATTGTTTTAAAACAATTTAGAAATGTTTTAATAAAAATCAAACTTTAAAAATTTTACTGAAGTAGCTTAACAAAATTATGAGTTAAATTTTTATAAATACAGTGTGATTTAAAAAAAAAGTAATCAATAAATTTTTGTTAATCCATTAAGTTTTTTGCATATTACCACAGAATGACAATGATTATATTGTGGTATATTTTAGTTTAAATTACTTATATTTTTTTGAGTAATTATATATTTATTCATAGGAAAAATATTTGACAATAAACAATCATCTTAAAATAACAATCACATTTTAATTTCAATTAATGATTTATGTTTTTTATGATGATGGCTTTGTTTAAATTCTAATATTTTAAGTTTTATTTATTCATTAACATACTTATTTAAAAAAAAAAATTATTTTAAGCGACTTAACAAATTAGATATAACATTTTTAGATATAATATCCCTTAAGTCCTTTAAAAATTATTCTTGTAATTTTCATATAATTAATTATAAATTTATTAATTCTTAAATTTTGGTATTGCCCAGTATATTTCCAGTTTATGTTTTTTAGTAAATATTATACTCACTGTACTGTAGAGTTTTTCTAATTTCTTTCCTTTAAATCTATAAAGTAGTGGTTAGAAAACATTTGTTTATGAAAATGTTACATTGTTTTAAATGAATCATACTCAAAATAAACAGTTTCTATTAGTTATAATTAGGTAAAATTGTAACTATCATATAATTTATATTAAATTAATATTATTTATTAACTTTTAATTAAAATAATTTTTAGAATACAGTTCTTACAAATAGATACATAAGTTGAAATTTCAAACAATTTTTTTGTTAATTGTTTAAAAATTACACATTGTTATAACCATAATTGTGTTTTACTATAATATTATTATCTTAAAATGTAAATTTTATAATTTAATATTCTCTTATAAAAATTTAATTTTGGTAAATCATTTTTCGAAATCTTAAATTCAACCTGATGATGTATTTTTGTAGCTGTAGGAAACATTATATTGTAGCTAAAATTTTTGTGTTAAATTACTTAATGATTTAAAATCATAAGCTATAGTAGATTAATTATTAATCTAATCAAATTTTTCAGGAAGATGATGATGGTCATGTTATAGCACTACAAACAATTCATGATCTTCTAATGAAATGTCAAGGTATATTTCTTGACCATTTTGCTCGATTGGGTGTTTTTTGTAAAGTGCAGCAACTAATTGGTCCTGAATCTAATTATTCTAAAGAAAGCATTCAAAAAAGTGACATCAAACAACTAAATGTTTGTTGTAATAGTATTTCAATTAGTATTCTTTTATTACACTTATTTTCTTTATTTTAGTATCAAATTGATGATTCTAAAGAAATATTATCAGGACATGCATATCATTGGAAAGATTGGTTTTTTTGTCGTGGCCGTGATTGCCTTTATGCATGGAATGAATATGTTGTATTAGAATTATCAAATGGAAGTAATGGATGGTTTAGATTTATGATAAATGATAAATTATCAACCATGTATTCTAGTGGAAGTCCAGAAGGTCAACTGGATACTAGTAATTTATATTTATTTTTTAAAATAAATTTTATTTTAAGTATTTCTAATGGAGATGGATTAAATATTCGTAAGAAATTTATTGGGCTAATATTTTGGGAGTTATTTATATTTACCTATTTGGAGTCACTTATAACTATTCAGTCAAATTTTATTTCATTGAGTAGTTAAAAAAAGTATTGAAATTTTGATATAATTAGAGATAAATTATAATATTGTATTTCTTTGCAAATAATTTAGTGGTTAATAACAAATTATAAATAACTATATAGGATATTCAAATCTAGTAGATATTTTATTATTATTATACTTTAATAATTAAATGTAATAGTAATTGTTAAATATTCTGAACCAAATATTCTAAATTAAATAATACCGAATGTTTGTCTACAAACACTAAATAATATCAACTTAAAAATATTTGGCTATTTTATGTATCAAAAAAAGTATTTGGTATTTTCAAATATAGTTATTTGCCCATCACTAATTATACCTATTATTTTCAGCTAAAACTCGAGCAGCTGATCCTCCCTCTTCTGATGGTAAGTATTTATTAGTTTTTCTGATAAAAATTATAATTAACTATGTGTATTTTGCTATTTTTGTTAAAATAGAAAATAAAGCTGAGTTTATTGAAAAATATTTGAAGGCTAAAGTTTTTGTAAAATTGAATACTCTAAGTCAGCCAATCTTAAGCTCACCAGGAATTAACAGAATAGCTGTTGGCAACTGGATACTTATTTCAAAAAAAGAAAATGAACTAAGCATTCAAAATTCTGATGGTTTGCAGGTAAATATATTAAGTATTAATTATACTAAATAAATTTTTTTACTGTTAAATGTTTTTGATAGCTTATATGAAAAACATTTTTTAACAAATTAGTGTATTAAAGCTTAATAGATAGTTATATTAATTAGAGCATTTTATACTCTACAATAAATTTGAAACGTTAACAGAAAATNAATAGATAGTTATATTATTTAGAGCATTTACAGATTTATCTGTAATTTATCTATATTTATTTTATGCTAGCATTTTATACTCTGCAATGAATTTGAAACGTTAACACAAAATTGTATATCTGTGTATGTATATATATATATGTATAATATATCTGTAAATATTCTAAATAACACTTTTTAACATTCATAAAAAGATTATTTTTATTAAATTTGTTAATATGGGTATTTAATAAAAAAAACACTATAAATCTTATTTATTTTAGCAAATTACTACACTAAATAATGGAATAAAAGGTTTTTCATTTCAATCTAACCGAGGAAATCAACATATGTTCACTGCTGCAGTTCCATTAAAAAGTGATTTTACTTCTGGTTGGGAAACTGTTAAAAAAGCTAATGTAGTATCAACTAAATCTGAAACAATTGGTCAAAAGGTAATACTATCAATCTATACATTTTTTCATTATTTATATTATTATTATTATTATTAATTTAAAATTAAACCAATTAAAAAATTGCAGTATTTTAATTTTATTTTTATGCCACTGGCACAACTATTCAGCTTTTGAGCTACCCCTAAGAAAAAAATTACTTAACCATAGGTATCCCGGGGCGGGTGATTAGCCTCTCGCTGAATAGAGGAATGTCTAATCCAATTATTGATCACTCTATAAATAAACGGAACCACCTGTTGAACCTAAGACTGTGCACATCAGGCACTGCTGAGTTACTGACTTGGACACATAGTCCCTATATTTTAATATTAAGTATAAAAATATCAGTTTTGAGTAATCCTTTTAAAAATATATCCAAACTATTTAATTATACAAAAAATGTATCATTCATCNAAAAATATTTCCAAACTATTTAATTATACAAAAACTGTATCATTCATTCTTCTATTCCACTCTTCCTGCACAGTGATGATACTGTCATTGTGTAAAAATGTTTAGGCAGATGACCATATTGTGTCAGTAATCTTGTTAAAGTGCTTATTTGATACCTAGTCATATTAGTATATATTAGTTATATATAGTCATATTATTATTACCTTACTAGTGTAATTTTATTAAACCTTGCTAGTGATTCTAAAGTTTTCATACATTCAAGGACTACCTTGAAGTCACCTCGTTATTATTAAGTGCTTTCAGAGCCACTTAACTTTGTTTAGGATATTTATGTTCTTTTTCTTGAATATTAGCATGTTATAGGCCCCTACTAGTATTGCCATTACCTCTGCTTGTAACTCAGAGGGTGTTGTGCCTATTGACATGCTGATATTTATGCGAGGTTTTAATCCCCAAATACCAGAATCTACCTTTCATGATTTCTTGGAACTATCTATATAAATTACAAACCCTGCTTTCCTAGTCAAGTGGTTTTTAAACCTTTCCTTATGTGTTAAGATACAACTTTGTAGAAGTTTTGAAAACGGGTTTAATACTATCTGAGGAATTTTCCCAGTATACTCTGGTCTATCTTTTTTAGTATTTTACCATGTTCTACGGTGTTGCTATTCATACCTAATTTGTATGGCTCCAGATCTTTCCTAGAGTTCTGCTGCATGTCCACAATGAAGCCGTGACCTTTTTGACTCTTGTCTCGGTGATTTCCATTTCCAAAAATAGCTTATTAAAACATATTTAATACATAAAATGTTTTTAAAATTTTAGTGTTTTTTAATTTTCTAAATTTATTTCTAAAATCTGTAGATTATATACACGTAATATTTTAACTCTACTACTATTAAAATTGTTCATTTAAGGAAAAACCAGCTCTATCTAATAATTATATTTTATTGGTCATGTATATACAATTAGGATTCTATTTTCAAGTTTTTCAAAGTCCATAGCTACAATAATTTATATTATACTTTGAGTAGTTTTTAGTATTAAATAAATTATTACTTACAATAACATTTCAGATACGAAAACAAGCTCAAGAAATATATGATAAATTCTTCAAAGCAGCTCAAGCTCAACCAAGAGGTGTTGTTGCTAAGCTCAGGAAAATTGTTTCTTCAATTGAATATTGTTTAAATAATCAAGTATAAAATTTACATGAGAAAATTTCTCATAAATGATTATTATGTAACTATGTTAAAATATGTTATTATTTCTAGACTACTGCTGATAAAGATCCTTTGAATAATGAACACTGGACAATCACATTTTACAATGCAATATTAAATTTGNACAATCACATTTTACAATGCAATATTAGATTTAAAACAGTTATTAATGGAGGATGAAGGTAGTGTTTCTGCTTATGAAATATATAGTAGCGGGCTTGTAGAAGTTTTATTACAACTTCTTTCACAAAATAACCAACATAACACTGATGTTATGATTAAAGATTTGCATAAATTAAGAATTGATATTTTTATCAAATGTTTTAAAGTAAGTATTTAATTAACAAATTTTTGTTAGTAAATGTTAATTTTTTTTTTAATATAGGAGAAAAAAAATGATAAAAGTAATGAAACTTGTGCTTCTGTCTTGGTTCAAAAATTAATATCAGTTTTAGAATCCATTGAACGTTTGCCAGTTTATTTATATGAATCACCTGGAGCATTCCATGGTTTACAGGTAATATTAAAATCATCTTCTAAAAAAATTAAATGGTTAATTTTATTCTTGATGTATTAATTTAATTCACATATTTCAGATTTTCTCAAGACGAGTTAGATTCCGTCTAGAAAAAGCTCTTAAAGAAACAACACTAGTAGATCGTTCTGGTAGAGGATTACGTATGGAACCTTTAACTACAGTACAACAACTTGAAAAACATTTATTAAAAATGGTTGCAAAACAGTGGTATGATCATGAACGCTCTACGTTTAATTATGTGAAAAAATTAAAAGATAAAAGTAATCTACCAATAAAGTTCAAACATTACTATGATTTTGATAAAAATGGAATTATATATTGGGTTGGAACTAATGGAAAAACATCAATTGATTGGGTAAATCCTGGGCAATATGGCCTTATGTTAGTTCAATCATCTGATGGACGCAATTTACCTTATGGACAAATTGAAGATATTCTTAGCCGAGATTCTGTTGCAATAAATTGTCATACAAATGATGATTCAAAAGCTTGGTTCTCAATAGATTTAGGATTATGGGTTATACCAACTGACTATACACTTAGACATGCTAGAGGGTATGGCCGATCAGCTCTGAGGAACTGGTTATTTCAGGTTATTTTACTTTTTTAGTTGTAATTTTTAACTTATTGACATTTATTGTAAAACTCATCAAAAATTTTCAATTGTAAAATATTCAAACTCACCATTACATTGCTACTCATTATAATTTATACTTAGTTATAATATCAAATTTCCTATACCCATAAAGTATTTCAATTGGTTTCATCAATCCTAAAGTAGCAATACTAAAGTAATAACCATTTAGCTTAGATGAATTTACAATTCTTTAGTAATAAATAATTAAATTTTAAGTAAATATTGTAATACAAAATACAGATGTCAAAAGATGGAACCAATTGGACAACATTATATACACATATGGATGATACAGCATTGAACGAACCTGGTAATACTGCTACATGGTCAATAGAAATAAATGATAAAGATGAAAATCAAGGTTGGCGATATATCAGAATTCAACAAAATGGGAAAAATGCTTCTGGGCAAACTCATTACCTTTCATTGTCAGGATTTGAAATTTATGGAATTGTAACTGGTGTTTGTGAAGACTTAGGTATAAAATAAGTTAATTAAACAACTTTAAAAGTAATAAAACTTGTATTAAGTTAAATACATTAACAAAACTTTTCAAAAGACTGAAATTTATACTAATAATTTTTTAGGTAAAGCTGCTAAAGAAGCTGAAGCTAATCTAAAACGTCAACGCCGATTATTTAAAGCCCAAATGTGTAAACAAATGATATCGGGAGCTAGAGTTATGCGTGGTTTAGATTGGAAATGGAGAGATCAAGATGGTATCCCACCATGTGTTGGAACAGTTACAGGAGATTTACACAATGGTATAATTTTATACTTTTGTCAGTTAATTTCAAAGTTTTTAGTAGTAAATATAAGAAAATATTGGGGTTAGGTTGGATAGATGTAATATGGGATCATGGCGTAACAAATTCATACAGAATGGGTGCTGAAGGGAAATTTGATCTACGGCTAGTTGGTGAAACCCAAACTACATTAACCTGTATGTTCTAAATAATGACACATTGTTTAGTGTTCCCAAACCCAAGCCATCCAATGTTATCATTTATTATTATTACATTTCTATTCTTTGTTTTGAGCATGCTAGAGTTTAAATGTCTTTTAATTCTTTCCTGTAGATTACTTTAAAACACAATTTTTCCATCATTTAAAAAATAAATATTTGAAAATGCACTATAATTAGTTTTAAAACTGTTTATCTTTACTGAAGTTATATCAATTTATTACTTGCATGGTAATATTTTTATTCTTATTTATTTGCTTAAGTTTTATTTGTAAAAATTAACATGATTTTAGAAAATTAAGAATTTTTTTAAATATTTTATATAGCAAAATTTAAATGCAGTAGTCCTAACGCTACATTTTCTAACATTATGACAAGAATGTCAACATCAACTCCTAGTCTACCAGAAGCATCTAATGATAGTTTAAATACCAGTGTATCAGTAGCTAGCACAGACCAATCAGCATCAGCAGATAACTTGGCAGCCAAAGTACTAAATTATTAANAAAAGATTCAGTGAGCAAATTAACAAAAGATTCAGTGGAGAGTCGTCCAGGTTCGACCCATGAACTCTATGACTCTTGAACGAGTACCTGACTCCTACTGGCGCGTCGCCTCAGGCGGCGGCGGCCGTAGGCCCAATGCATTGAAAAAGGCTGAGCAAGCATCGAATGTTCTAGAAGGACTAGATGCTTGCCTGGTAAATACTTTATACAAAACAAAAGAGGCTTCCGTTCCCATGATTATTATATATATACTATTAAATTACATAATTACAATTAGGCAGCAAAAAGCCAGTTCACAACACTATCAACAACTTCATCTATTTAGCAGAGTTTTATATTATTTTTTAATGTTATTTATTATTTGTTTTAAATTTTAAATAAAACTATTTTGTTTTATGCCGCTTCGTGTGGCCATTAGTTTTTAAGGGCCCTCCTCCATTACCCCTTAAATTTAAGATACTCTTTGAAGAACCTTTAATATATGTGGTTATTTGCTATTTAATTATTTTCTACTCTCGTTACTCGTTGGATGTGAGTTTAGCCGTCATCCTCCTAGGTGACCCCTCTCCCGCTTTAATAATAGCGATTTTAAACAGGCTTAAAGTAAATTGGCATTCTATCGCGGTGCACAACTAGCCGTCCTATGGTCTGGCTGCCTCGTACGAAACAGAGATTAAATGTATACTACTAATACTCAACACAATCTCCTACACGCAGCACTAATAATAATATACATGTATATTATATTGTATACATGTATATTAATATATTTATATTTTTTTTGTATTTTCAAACTCATAAAACAATAATTAATGTTTTTCTTTTTTAACACGCTTATATTAGTTTCACCTGTATGTTTGTTTGTTTTTATAAATGTAACTCTCCACGCGCCACGTGTTAATATTCTTGCATATCCTGTCGTCTATGATATTGAGACTTGACTGTCGTAACGCATTCACCCCACTCCGCTCACCAAACCCCGGCGACACTATTCCTGTATAATTTTATTTTTAGTTTTCGTACCTGTACACGCGTGCGTGTCATAAATAAAATATATATATATATGGACAAATTTTTACTGTGTTATTTCAAAAGACACAATTAAAAAATACCACTTTTGGAAAACTTGAAGGACTCAACAATTTTATTATGTGATCCCTTTGTGTCTCTGCACAATATATATATTTTAATGTTTTAAGTAATTTTGTTTAACTGACCATATAGTCTGTTCATTATTTTGTAAGTTAATGACTATACTTTTTAACAATTTGATTATCTTTTATGGTCAATCCTACTTAAAATTATTTTATTTTATTTTCTCTTGTCGGTCCTCGGGTCCGGTTAGGGTGAACATCTGCTTGAGTAGATTTTTCATTTATGTAGAGAACACCCAATGACGTTAGTGAAATGTCCATAGTACCCTGACCCATACGTTGGATCTGCCACGCTCATGTTCCTTCCATTTCATTCTTTTATTCTGTATTGTTGGTATTTTTCATTGACTTTTAACTCTATGTATGGCAGTGAAATTTTAGTATATTAAAGTAGATAGTTTTTCTTACCCAGTTAATATTTTTGTATACATGCTGATTATTGTTCTAATAAAAAGAAAATTTGAGTATTAGTTATGTGAACGCTATATTAATGATGTGCCCTTTGCTCTTGTTAGAGAACACATAGCCCTTGTCAATGCTGTCGTAAAAGAAAAGAAAAAAAAATAGGGAGAGAGTAAGTGGGGATGAATGAAATATTGAAATAGAGAGTTATTTTAGATTGTTTAGTTACAAGGTGAAAATAAAAATATACGGTGTATGATCATGGATCTTTTTGTTAAAATGAAATAATTACATATGGTTTGTCGTAAAATGTACAGTGAAGGGAAATTACACACAAATGACACTAACCTGAATATTATAAATTCTACTATGAAATGTGCAATTGTTTTGGTGGAGGATTTTATGACTCTTGGTATTTTTTTATCGATTGTAACATATATAGGAAACGATGCGTGTTTACGTAAAATGCAACTGTTCGATTGTTGGGCGCCAAGTTTTATAAGCTAAATTATTTTTTTTTATATGAACGACAAATACAGAAAAACATTTACGTTAAACACATTTATTTGTGATTAGAGTGATGACAAAACTGTTGTTAACAATAATCTTTAAAATTATCTACTATGAGAAGCAATTCAATTATTCCCATGATAAAAATTATTCATGACTTATTTTAAATCTATCCTTAATTTTTTTATAACATGCTTAGAAATATAATTTCTTACCTTGTGTCCAGCTAGTTTGATCTTTTATTGTATAAAAAAATATATATAAAAAGAGCATTGGCTTTAATCTACTTATTTATTTTATAAGATTATAAAAATTATTAAACTTGAAATATTACTTCACTGTAACTCCTTTCTACACCTGGTATCTGAATATATGTATGTTTCTTTATATTTTAAAATGAAAATGTATAGAACCAGATAGATCATGAGAATCAATCCCTAGTGACATACCACAAATTATTGTTTTACTAATAATTTCAACCACTTGATGTGCTACGGTAATGACATCAATAAACTATCAATATTTTATAAAATTGTGTATTTGATGTGAGAGTCGACAGATTTGGAGACACTGTGGCTATACCATCGGAGATAATACTCGTCGATGTACAGTCCTTGTGGATTCTATAACTGTTTTCCGAAAAGAACGTGACAGAATATGAGAATCATACCCTAGTGACACGTCACAAACTATTGTTTTACGAATAGTTTCAATCACTTGATACTCTAGGGTAATGATTTCAGCAAACAATCAGTATCTTATGCACTTGATGTGCTAAGGTAGATTTTCGAAATGCACTCGTTAAATAGATACCCTAATAGAAAAATATAAATAAAATTCTTAATAGGAACAATTCACAAAATAATCAATTAAAAAAATTAATCGTCCTAATAAATTGTTGAACATTTAAAACTTAAAAAAATAGAATAAATAAAGTTATTTTTTTAAAATACGTTACTAATGGGAGAGTTAGATAAAAAACACCAAGTATGAAAAAGTTTCTAAGTCCGAGAGAGCGCAATCGCGAAACAGTCTGGTACAGAGACGCTTCATGACCAGATTTTTAGAAAAATTAAGGTGCTGAATGAGCCAAAAATCGCTCTTTTATAGGCCTGTTATTGAAGAGAAAAATTGATGATTTAGAATTTAATTAAAAGATGCTTCTTATTAGTTGATCAATTAAACTTAAAGGGACACGCGCGCAACCTATTATTCTACTATTTCGATTTAATGTTACATACGGGCATTCATGTTTTATATCTATCATTTCCCATAATAATGTGGTTTATTAAAATCATCATTATAAAAATATAAATAAAGTTAAATGTAAAATGCTAAATATCTATTACAATGCCTAACTGTCTATTTTATATTATTGTGCTATCACGTTGAACTATCCCACATTTCTCTGGACTTCATAATATTGGCTCCCAAAATGATATTATAAGCAAGAATAATTGTTATTGGATATTGGGTGGGTTATTATATGGTACAGTCGCCATGTGTGTGTGTGTGAGCGGCTTGATGGGACGGGGACAAATGGCGTGTCGATGGCGTGAATGTGTCCGGGCCGAAATGCCACGTGCGTTGTGGGCTCGCGTCTAAATGAAAAACCGGCTCGTGCGTGTTCGCTCGCTGAAGGTGACGGTCGCGTGGTCTGACCGGCTAATCTTTGAAGGTTTCGCGCTTTGCGTTCTTCGATTTCAGTCAGACGCTGTCGTAGAGCCGCGTTACTTTGAGTCGCGTTGCTCGGCCCACGAAAGTTATGCAGTTTGGTTCGAACAGACGCGTGTAATCACTACGATCTATTTCTACTGTCTCTCGCGTCATCTGTGCGATGGTGAACGGATTCCGATATTGAGTGCGCCGTATACAAGTCGTCTGTATACGCTGCGTTCAAACTACTATTGGGGCGGCCGGTTGCCCAGGACCACTCTTGTAAGCGACTCAACTTCAGAATCCTCTAGCGCCAAGTTAATCGGTCGGGTCCGCGTTTGATGGAAGGTCGACGGTCCAGCACAGCGCGGTGACTTCGTCTACCCGAGACTGGCGTTCCGTCACGAGTGTGCCATAATGAAGCGTTGGTCGTTCGGGTAGGATCGCGTTCGATGGGTCTAGCCCTGCGCCGCGAAATCTATTCTCCAAGACGGCTAGCATATCGCTTTTCGCCGTGGGTCTATTTAACTGCCTATATGCGCATTCGCACAACAATTACCTGAACGATAATTTGAAAAAGCGTTGTACCGGGCATAGAGAGCGTTTCTTTTGCGAAATGAACAAAATAAAAACGTAAGCGCCTGTTTGTTTTTGTTATTTGGCAATACGATATTAGCTATCACGAGAATACGCGCTGTGTGTTTGCGTATGAACGTCAACAATGCCGGCCGTTAGTGTTATTATTGTTATTGTTGCGATAGTGTTATAGTATTGCACTATGACACTGGATTGTATGTGGGAATTAACTTACCACTATAGTAATCGTAATCATAATGATCGTGAAGGTCACAATTAATAACACAAACGGGTTTCAAATAGGACTCGGTTGCTAAATTCAACAATCACTGTACTATGACAGTGTGTTTTATTATTCTACCCGCCTAGCGGATTTTTTTAAACAATTCAACGAGTGTGTTCTCGGCGTTGTTACAACTCAAAGTTGTCGGTACGCGCGTGTGTGTGTGTACATAATGTGATACAGTAATCGTCACTTGTACCGGGTTTAATCACACAGAAGGCAGGAATTTCCTATTGGATGGGAAATTTACTGCTGTTACCGGTAAAACGTTGAAAGTTTAACATAACTCGTAGTAAATGAAAGGTGAGGAAAATTTCGCTGTCTCTTAAAAAAAAAAAAATTCAAAATTTATGGAAATAATGTCAAATGTCAGCAGTATTTTCTTACCTTATTTCAAGATACTTCGGTTTTGATTCGGATGCCGGGGAGCCAGTTGTTACGGTGCACTCAGGTTGACACAGGTAACATTAACGTGTCGATCACAATACAAAAAAAAAAAAAGAATAGCTGGTTTATAGTCACAGTAAAGGTGCCGAGCCGTTTATTTAGCACAAAATAATATTACCAATGGCAACAAAATAGCATCGCAGAAATAATAATACTAATGGTAGTGAAACAGGCCGAACGCAAATAGAAACGTGGAGGTATCACAAAAATGGCTGACTAAACGTATTATTGCGACGGGTATTGGACGCTAGACATTTATTGGACTTAACACCTCGACGATAACTCGGTTATGTTCAA